AATTACCCTTCCAGTATGAAAAGTAAATTATTTAGAGATGACCAAAGTTAAAAAAAGATTTTAGAGTAATTTTCTTATTTTCCTCTGACAGGTTTTTGTGCGTCTGTTATCTTTGTAGACTGGTTATTGTGATTTCCATCTTGTGTGGTATTTATGTGTTTAATTTATTAGTGCCATACTGCCCATCCTATATATATATATATGTATACATACCATAGAGTCTGTGTGTTTTCGTGTGTTTGTGAAATGTCTGTCAGGTTTGGTTCAGAAGCTTCCAGCAGCAGCAGCTGAAGCAGCCAATCAGAGTGTGACAGACGAGTGAGAGTCCGACCATCTGTAGGTGGACTGATGCCGACACACACACACACACACACACACACACACACACACACACACACACACACACACACACACACACACACACACACACACACACACACACACACACACACACACACACACACACACACACACACACACACACACACACACACACACACGCACACACACACATTGTGGATTTCCTTCTCTCCTGTTAATTGAGACCAAACATTAAGTCATTGTTCACTTCACCCAACAAAAGTGTCACTATAGTTTTGGCCATACAGTGTAAATTCAGACCGCTGGCTGAGTTAAAAAAAAATGTAATTACATTTGTTTTGCAAACAGTCCTGTTAACATGGACTGTAAGTCTTCAGAGCTTATGAACTATAATACCTTCCTTTCCCACATAGGATAGGATAGGATGCATAAGTGCATTGGTGCAGATCTGAAACAGAATATTGTGATTTTAAGTATTAAAGCAAGTACATGTAACTTTTCCACCTCAAAATAGTAGTTTCAAATTCGATCTAAAAGGCCAATAACTTTTATCAAGGAGAATGGTGTCTCCTGCTTTTAGCACTATGTAGCTTTGGCAGCAGGCCAAGGTCATTTGCAAGAAGTGCATACAGCTTTACGGCAGCCTTCAGCTACTAAGCAGCCAGTTAGCCCGTCTCTGTACGGTTTGATACAATGGCTAAATGATGGAAGAGGAAGGTAAGCAATGAAGAAGAGATTACGAGAGCGTGACCAAGCAACCTTACAAACTTATCTCAACAAGCGTGTGATAAACTACCCTCTGTTCATAACGTTTTACAAAACATAATAATAATTTAAAAAAAGAGTTCTTCTCCAAGCACCACTACACCACTGTTTGAAGTGTGTTACTATCTGAATTTCTTCCAACATTAAATCACCAAATGCAACAATTTCTGGTGTTTTCTCCCCCATCTACTCCCTCTGTGTTGTATTAGCTGTGTTAGTGAATATGATTACACATTCTCATCCAGTTTATCTTTTATTTTTCGCTAATTGCTGCATAATAGAAGCATCAATCCCCCACGTTCATTAACAAAGGCTGAAAATTAAGTGTGAGCACCACGTCTGGTCATGAGCCCTCAGCGTCTGTAAATACGTGTGAAGCGCACAGCCGAGCGTTCTCTCTGGTTATTACGAGACCATTTGCATTATCTTACATTACTGCAGAGGTAAAGGTTTGTAATAACTGAGCTGGGAATTAAAAAATTATCACAACCCTGCAGCTCAGGGGTGCTGCTGGAGTCTATTTGTGGCAGCAGAGAGGTGTTTTTTTTTTCTGTCGCAGTCACCTCCAAGAAAAGGTGAAAATTGCACCCTGGGGGGAACAGCTTTGAGTGTGCGTGTGTGTGTGTGTGTGTGGGGGGGGGGCAGATTCACCCATCCTCTCTTTGTCTCTCTCAAAGTCTTTGGCTTGTCCCCAAAAATCCACAACTGTACGAGCAGAGGAAACAGAGAGAGTGAGACACTGTTAGGGCTGCAGGGCCTCCAGGGAAACACAAAGCGCTGATATCTGAATAATCTCCTTCAACATGTGTTTAAAAGGCACAATGTGGCAGAAAACTGAGAAGAACCCTGAAGAACAATGGCAAACTGTGAGTTTAAGTAATGATGATAGGTGAATAAATTAATATTTAATTCAGACTGACTGCTTAAGAGAAGAATTAACTCGACATACAAATGAAAGTGAACCTTGCTGGATGCAGGCTCACGGTTTCTAGATTGAAGCTGAAGCAGAAATGCCTAAAAAACTGCAGTATTTCTAATGGCCAGCAGGTGGCAAATAAACTAGTTTCAGTAAGAAGTATGTGAAGAATTAAATGAGGGGAAAAACAAGCCTTCAATCAAGCTACAATCACTGCTGTTGATAATAAAAGTGACTGCAGAATTGCAAAAAATTGCAGTTCCTGAAAAGTCCACTTGAGGCTGGCTGCATAGCCAAGGAATCCCAATCAGGCTACGTAGAAAGATCCAGGTAGTGACAACGATGCCCACAACCGGTTCCCCAAATGCAACTATTCCTAATGTCAACGATACGAGAGGAGAGCAGAGAGATAAACAAAGGTGAAAGATGGTGTTCTTCTGCCTTTATTTAGGACCCCAGCTGGCATCATTTCTCCTCATCTAAATCCACTGACTGGTTTCTTCTGACATCTCTCTTTTGTTTACTCTGTCCACTCACTCCCAGTTCTCTCAGTGATGATGACATGTCTGATCTGGCAATGAATGCTCAACTTCCCATTTCTACCTGGTCATCCCCAACTCTCCATCCTCGCTTTTAGCTCCTGCCCCCCCACCCCCACAGTCCTCCAAGGGAACCTTCAATTCTATGAAATAAACGATCCACTGAGTTAAGTTTATGTTGCTGTGGTAGAGAAACAGGTATGAATATTGTTTGATTTTTATGTATGTCATATTGAAAAATCTGGTATCATGATATAAACCCTAGTCACAACAGTGTTTTGTATCAGATGTCTTTTTAATCGTACTTTTTTTTGTTGTTGTTGTTGACTTGTTGTTTCTAAGAGTTATTCTGGTCTTGTGTTCTCCTCTCGGACAATGTGTTGATTTATTGGACACAAACAGTTCAGGTTAACATTATTTCTAAAAAAAAAGGTTGATCAGACTGAATGTCCCTGGATCTAAAAGCACTCATCAGTATACTTTGGAACAACCTTTTAAATACATAAATCTTGATAACACACACACACACGCACACGCACACGCACACGCACGTGCAATCCAACCAATCTGTTCAAAACTCACTGATTGTTGAATATATTAAAGCCTCTTCCTTCAGTGTAAATAGCGAGCTCCTAAAGAACATATATCAAACCTCCTTAATGTTATTTGTTAACTGCTTGCTCTTCTTTATGTGTTTTATATGTTATATTAACCCTTTTTAAAAAGACCTCCCAGCCAAAGCATTTCACACTGTTGAACTTGATAGATGACTTGAATTTAAGTATTCGGGTCCATTGTATTGGAAAGACTTCTACATAGAAGTAAATGTATGAAAAGGTCAAATGAGTCAGGATTGGTTCATGAGATGAGTTCAACCTCCGAAGGTTTAGTTTTGTGAAATAACATGAGAATTTGCCCCAACAAAAGACCCACAAAGACTCAATGAAATGATTCAAATTTGAATAAACTGAATATTTTCATAATGTTTTTAAAACCCGTCTTTGCAGACAATAAAGTTATAACTCTGAATACAAACTCTTTGTGTCTTCTGTGTCAGTGTAGTAAGTGTGTGTGCATAATGAGAGCAGAGAGCGTTCATTAGCAGATCCACAGTGGCTCATTAGGAGGAGCAGGATGACAGGCTAACCGTCTGTAAAATCCTGCTGTTTGAACCTGCTAATGGCTCCGCTAACCTCTGATCCAGCGCTCAGGTATAACTGCACACCCTCATTCCTGCGTTTACCTGCATTCCTCCTGCTAGTAGTCTCCTGTTGTCTCGTTAAAAGTCACACCAGCGACAGACCAAACACGAAAATGAGGAGGGAAGAGGAAGTGACAGGAAGAAGAGAGAACATGTTAAGATATACACTCGCTCACAATTAAAATAAATGGTATTTAAAAGTGTGATCTCACCTGTAGGGGGTATATATGAGCTAAAGTTTAAGTCTTCAGGTATCTATTTCTTTATTTCTGAAGTTATTAATCCTGGGCTTATTTGAGTTATAACGCTTTTGTGGTCTTAATGCAGGAAAAGTTTATAAAGTTTTCAGTTTTCTCCAGTAGAGATCTTCATCGAGCTCTATTGAAACAGGCTTTAATGGCTACAACAATCAAAATATGTTGAAATAAAGTTGTTGTTTTTGTCACTGACAGGCTCAGATTGTTATTCTGTGTGTCTGACAACATTAGAAAAAGGATCCCTACAGAGATCGACCTTTCTTTTAAAGCGGAAAATGATTTTTAAGCCAGAAACAGCTGTTACATCACTCTCTTCAGACACACCAGACTCCATTGACAGAAACAGTAATTTTACCTCACTGAACACAAGAGCTGCTGGTCTACCTCTGAACTGATTTATTTTATTTATATTGATTATTTTTGTACAAAGAGAGCACGGTTTACCAAAGTAAAATTCCTTGTGTTTTTAAGCATACCTGGCCAATAAAGCTGATTCTGATTAGTTCAGAGCTATGACATCACTCTCTTCAAAAACACCAGACTCCATTGATAAAAAGAGTCATTTAATGAAAGTGTCAAAGAACTTATAGACAATAACAATACCAACAATCTTATATTCTAAATAACATTATCTATATTATAATGTGAATATCCTGCGACCAGTGAGAGACAGGCTCAGTCTTTGTGCACTCTTCCTGTGACCACCAGTTCTTTACCTCTCATTTATTGATACTATGATCATGTCCAATCACACGTAGCACTGATATGAAGACTAAAACCGTCATCATAGTGGTCGACTCTATCGCTTGCCCTTTGTCCGAAAGGGGACATGTTTGAGAGAGTGTCTCAGGAAGATTTCAGGGCCAGTCTGCCTGAAATTTTCAGCAGTGTGAAAAGTGCCTCTGATAATACCTCACAGGAATCAGATGTTCCAGATGATTGTCATGAAAACACACACACACACACACACACTTCTGTAAAAGAAAACAAACATCCAGATGTTTCTGTAGAATCAGATTTTTATAAATACTGAATATTGTACAAACAATGGTACCGTTTTCTCTGGGAAATAAAATCAGGACGACATCCTGTAAATGCACAGACCGTCTAAAACCCAACACTTAAGGGAGCAATAACAATCCAGAGCGCCCCCTGGAGGCAAATCAACAACACGTAACAGCAGCAGAGAAGAAGACAGTTAAGAGTAGCCGTCTAAATATGAAACTAAAAAGTTCAGACTAACAGAGAAGGATTAGCTGGTACAAATCTAGATCAATCAGTGACTCTCACCATCTGTTGGAGCTTCTAATGAGACACAGTTTGCATCTTCAAGTCATAATACAGTAACATTTCATAAAGCTTGTTCCAGTTTCTCCCTAAGGATTGGTTGTGTACCATATGTGAGGCTGTAAATAATAATACACAGTCTATGGTCAGACATGTAACATTTTGCACAGTTTGATGAAAAAGGGTGAGATCCTTTTTTGCTTCTCAATAAACAGAAAAACATATTTCTCAGGTGAATGGATGGATGCTTTTTAACCTCATGTGTCCATAAGTCCTAAACTGTAAGACTAAAACAAGGGAAGGAGAAGCCCCGCACTCTGTCTGCAGCCGTGGATTCTCAATTAAATGATGCATTTCAAGCTCAAATTTAAGAAGAGGTTTTTTTTTCAAGCTCAAATTTAAGAAGAGGTTTTTTTTTTAACCCAGCGAGGTAAAAATGTTTTGCTCTCCTTGTGCTGACTTCAAACTTTGTGTCACACCACATGCATTTTCCTGAAGAGGAAGAAATGACTTTAAATAACACTTCACTTTCAATCAAACTTTCAGAGACACATTTCTAAACCTTGGATTTCATTTTAAAGGTTCATTTTCTGACTTTCCACATGAAACTATAAGGCATTCAAACCCTGCTGTTTTTGGTTTTATCTCTTAAATCCCTCTTAATGATGGTCCGACATTCAGTCACAACTCGTTCTTTTTATGAAATGAGTACAACACACTGGAGTAAAATAAAATAAAAATACATTACACAAATATTTCAGTAAAATAAATACTTCCCCCACCAGGTTCCTCTCTGGGTCTGAGGTCATGAAATCATCGCTCTCATTATTATTAAAGGAAACCGTTAGAGCTGGATCCATTTGGATGACTGTGATCTGTTAACTTCACTTCAAATGAACAACAAGAAGTCCTCGCAGACAGAAGTGACATGTGGAAGGATGTTTATGTTCCATGTTGTTACGTCTTGTTGAAGGGTGCTCCAGATTAAAACCCAGACTGAGAACGAACCAAAGAAATCTGATGCTGACTAATAACGATAAAACCGGATTGGTAAACTGACAGAAAATGATCTGCAATTGTTTTAACAAGCAGTAAAATCTTCTAAAATAAGAGAAGGGAACACCTTTAGGTTTTGGAACTGTTTGGAGATTCTGCATAGCCAAAGTTGTTTTTGAAGACTTGATAAATTAGAAAATTATTAAAGATATCTTCCAAATGGTTCACTTCTGTGCAGCAACTTCTGATCATATGTTATCATCGTCCTCAGTAGATTTGGTTTGTCCACATTCCTTCAAATGCTAAGAATTATTGTCTTCCATGAGTTCTCGTCTTTAAAGAGTTTAAACTCTTATGCAGAGGAAAATCACGTCTTACATCCAAAAGCTCCAGAACCGACACTAAATCCTCCATCCGCAGGGTTTTTGTTTTTGGCACATAAAAACATGATCATTATTCACAGTTTTCTTAAAGGCATTCACTAAACCATGAAGAGGTAAAGCATGATTCCAATATCGCTGAACTCTCGTGGATGTTCTGCAGGATTCTTTGGTTCCTTCTTAAACTAAAAGGTAGATTAAAAAAAACAAACAACAATGAACTGAATCGATCGCAGTGAAACAAATCTGTTCTGTTACTGCATTGTTTCTCTTCAGCAGCATTCTGTGTCAGGCTTCAAATACAGGCTGAATTTATGCAGCTAAAAGACAACGGGGTATCTTAGTCTTGGTATAGTTCAGCCTGGTTTGGCTCAGTTTACTTTAAAGGGTAAAAGGAATGCTTTAAATTCACCACAGAAAATAAACCTAGAGGGTTTTGTTTCTTATAATCAAGAATTCCAGATCAAAAACATTTGTTGTGATGTTTTTAAAAAAGAGATCACTGCAACAAAATGATAAAAAAAAAAAGATAAATAGAATTTAAACTAGGAGCTAAGGTTGTCAACATTTTAAACACTTTCATACCTTTTTGTTAGCGCGTGTTTTTAAACAATACACTCTCATTGAAATGATGAAGTGTGGTAAAGTACCAAAGCTTTAAAAAGTGACAGATCTTCAAAAGCTGCTGCGACAGAAAGCGAGAGAACGTTTTCTATATTATCCGCTGGTTAGCAACACGAGTGTAACTTTTATAATTTTGTAATTTTAGTTGTTGAGGTATTGAAGCGGGTACAGATATCGTCTGATTTATTATCAAAGGTTTAAAATATTTTGACAACACTACGATGAACTAAAAAAAAAATCAATACAGTGTTTCTGAGAATGGAGGAGGTATCAGAAAAAATACCAACACAATAATCAAGTGTATCTATAGTTTTGAACACCCCTAGTGAGTTGGATTCATGAGACACAGAAGTCGCAATTATAAAAAAAAAGGTTTTTAGGGAACGTCGATAGGCTAGCAGTTGGAATCCAACCTCACCCCTTTGCTGCATGCCGCCCCCCTACTCTCTCCTCCCACCATTACCTGTCTCTCTTCAGCTGTTCTATCCAATAAAGGCAAACAGACCCAAAAAGTAACTTCTGTGAGTGTGTATCTTCTTTGGTGAATTCAAAGTGTGTCTGTTAGAGGGTTATATATGAAGCAAACACCCTGTAGATAAGAGGATTTTCTCTTCAGAAGGGAATTAAAAACATTATCTGATGCTTGTGATGGTTTCTGCTGAAACACTTAATGACTCTTTCCGACTACATGATACAGAAGCTGAAATGAACTCTACGGTTTCAGTGTTGCGATGCGTGTTTTGGCGGTCGGTGATGTCAGGTGTTATGCTCCGTTTGTAGCCGTCCAGCTCACCTCTGCTCTGTTTGCACGATCCCAGAGTTAAAAAAAAAAACATTTGCATCCACACCATGTCAGCAGGTACTGAAACCAAAACAGCTCCGGTCTGTCCATGCCCGTCTGTTTAAATCCAGTTTAGGTGCAACAGTTTCTCTCCATGCGTCCACTTCTCTGAGGTTTGACACACAAAGTGGTCCGCCTGCCAGGTCTCCGACTTTACGTTGACGCAATTTAAAGTTCTGGTTCTTAACATCAAGGATCATCAGGAGGTTTTAATTCTCTTTAAGATCCTCACTGTCCTGTTCTACTGCAGGTGTGTTGTTGAGAAGTTCCTCAAATCAAAGTAAGGAAGCATTCAGTTTTTGTCTGTTTCTGCTCAGTGAAGGAGTGAATTCTTCAGTGTTAAATCCTGGGTTAGGTTCTGTTTGTACCATTATTTCCTCCTGTCAGGGCAGCCACGTGCTGCAGGTCAGTCAGTGCTGCCGCAACATCCAGAGAGGAGCAGAGTTTAAACATTAAATCCTTTAGGCGGAGCGGTGTAACGACGCGTTTGGTTTCCCTCTACGACAGCAGACACCACGGCGTCTTATCCTGGTCACACTCCAGTTTGGTGTTGATGACGGTGCAGGGAGCGCCGCTGATGCTCAGCTCCTGCCGGGACTCCACCGAGTAACGGAGGTTACTCAGCCCCCCCTCTGGATCCACCTTAAACTGCTCCTACAGGGAGGAGGGGGTGGGGTGTGGTTAAAATATTAATACTTTCTGGGATTGATGATGGAGGCTGTTGTGGTTTTGATTCCTCAGATTTTCTCTTTCCAAACTCCAGACTGTAATTTTCACAGCTTTGAGCAGATTTTTTCAGCTCATACATACACTGGAGTTTAATGAGCACAAACAGCCTGATGTTTGATTATCTCATATCTGGTTTCATTATCCAACTGTTACACTTACGTTACATTCACAACCCTGATTCCTAAAGATCTGGGACGTTGTCTAAAATGGACATAAAAACAGAATGTGCTGACTTGTAAACCCATATTTCATTGAATAACTCAAAGACAACACATCGAATGTTGAGACATCAAGCTTGCTTGATCTGTGCTCTCTCACAAAGAAGTTCATGTTTTGCTTCATAGGAATCCTTTGTGTTTAACTGGACTTTCTAAAAAGGAAGGTAAGGGCTTATTTGAGCTATTCTAATGCCAAAGACGCATTTTAAATATCCCTGTTACACTGAGCAGACTCAATGAGACGGTGTTTTAGTTGAGGAAACTTGTTTATTAAAGGATGTTAAAATGAAGTTTATGAGATAATTAATTATTTTTAAAGACTGAGATAAATCTGACCAAAGGATTAAGGATAAAAAAAAAAGGTTCCCAGTCTTGCACTCTTGATATTGTGTAAATGTTGTACCTGTTTCTGAGCTGAGACTCTCTTCTGGTCTCTCTTCCTCCAGGCCGAGTCGTGGATATGGAGGAAGGTTTTATATCCGGTCGTGATTCCACTCGGCCTAAACAGCTGCAGGGAAAAACATCAACATCAACGGACACGGATAAAGATTATCTTAGAAACAACATGACCAATACATCATGTTTACAAGGATAATAATGCTCTGGAAACTCTTTCTAACAGGGTCTTAAGTTGGGATTTACCTGTAGCTCAGCTTTCCTCAGTCTTCTGTAGAACTCGTCGTCCTCTCTGCCCCAACCCCAGAACCTGTTGGACATCCCGTTACACTGAAAACACAAACACACAAAGAGTTAACCGTTTTAAAGACTGGAACACTACCGTGTAAAAAAAAAAAAACATGGCTTTTATGTGCAGTGTTTAACTCAACAGGTTAAACAGCTCCATCTAGTGGACATTTTGAAACATTACATGAATGTGACAGAAACAGAAAGAGGACTATTTCTGACCCACAGAAACAACTTCCATGACATCCTTCCTCTTTCTTTTCTCACTGTATTGTACAAACTGAGATTTTTCACAAAGATCCCATAAACCTTTTTAACTCTGAAAAACGAGTATGCATCACTCTCCATATTGGTTCTGGGATTTTATTATGGCTTTACTTGAAATATTTTCAAACATTTTCATATTTTTTTATTCTGTAAAGCCTAGGCTAAAGAGTTTATGTAAGTGAATAAAATACAATTGATTTCTGTCAAAAGTCTTTTAATAGTTTCATACTTTATGAATATAATAATCTCAAATGTTTCTCATTGAAATCTTTTAAAAAAGCCAAAAGCCATAATGACACAAAAATATTCTGATTCGAAAAAGAGGACAAAGTTTATCTTCACACTCAAGAAATTATGCAAACTCTGCACTTTTTAGTTTTTTAAATATTCTCTGAGGTTTCAGAGCATTTCCATCACTTTTAACAGTGCAAGCAAAATGATCGACCTCATCAACAAATGTTCAACGTTTTGAACTCAGAGATTAACGCCTAAATAATCTGTTTCAGAAAGAAAGAATGTTGGGGGAACATTTGTCAATAAAAGTAAATCAACTCATTAACAGATCATTTTAAAACAAGACACTCAGGCGTCTGTTCCAATAGTCCAAACTGAACTGGGGAAAAAAGTGTTTAAGTTTTCTGCTCCCTTCCCGTACTCTGAAATTACAAAAAGAGCTGAAACTCTGCTTTTAAGAGGAAGTTAAATTACTTGGAAGCAGACACATCTGGATGCAGATGTTCTCCCTGATTTGTTTGTGCATGAAATAGACAAACATTTGTGTATTTTAATGTCTAATGCTGTATTTTTTGTGTTTGTATGTTTGGCTGCTTGTTTTTTGTGTGAAACTCTGTTAATAGTGCTGCTGCCTGTCTCAGCCAGGACTCTCTTGAAAAAGAGATTTTTAATCTCAACGACTTTCTTTCCTGGTTAAAAAAGATTAAATAATAGAAAAGTACCATTTTGTAATGTTTCTTGGTGAGCAGCAGGATTCCTCCCACGTAGGTCTTGTAGTGGTAAAGCGGGTGCAGCTCAGGGGAGGCCACGTGGAACGGTCCGTCCTCGGGAAAACCGTAGTCTAAAGCTTCATTCAAAGGCAACAGGTCAACATCGTGCATCGCCAGGTAGTCCGTGTCATTACCGCTCTCCAGGTAACCGACATTTATCAGAGACGCTCTGTTAAACCTGGAACAATTGAAAACACATGATAAGACCTCTCTGCAGGCTGGATTTAAAAACTCTAAGTGATCCAGGCAAATTCAGGATCAAGAGGTCTGAAGAGGAGATATTTCTGTACTGGCCAGGGACGATTTGTCCTTACAGGGAACAAACTCTTTGAAGTGTCCAGCAGAACAATCACTGCCTTGAGCAGGGAATTGTTTCTCTAATGGGGACATTTTGGACAAAATATCTCATCGTATCACACTCAAAGCACACAAAAATAAACGTTCAGATCGAGACAGTGGTACAACAGGAACTCCTTTGTCTGAAGAGGTAAAACTGTTTGTTTTATTAATGAAGTCTGGCATCAAGAGAAACAAATTAAAAGAAAAAGATTTTTAAAAACAATCGCCATCTTTAACAAAATGCTTTATCTCTTTAAAGATCCTTTCTGTAATGTTGTCAGACACTTAGAAGAACAATCTGAGCCTGTCAGTGATAAAGATGACTTTGAGTGGACACACATCAAGGATGATGTTGCAGATATTCAGCCCAGGTTTGAAAATGTCAGAATAATCTACCCTCACCCCAACGCCTTGCTGATTATATCCAGGAGGTTTAAGTTGCTCTAACAATAAATTAACAAATTAAGTATGTACAGCAGATCTGGTGATGTCAGGTATTTCCTCACCTGTAGTGATCCATCTGGTTGACGATGAAGATCTTGTGGCGGATCTTCTTCTTGTTGAGGAAAGTGTGCATGAAGGGAACAAACACCAGCAGCTCCTCGAAGCGCTCTCTGAAGGGGATGATGAGCGCCAGTTTGTGAGGACCCCAGGAGGGGTCGTCGGCCGCAGATGCCTGACTGTCAGCGGGGCAGGGCGGAGGCTGCATGTGCTGGGGGGGTCGTTTGTCCTCGTGCACGGGGGCCGACAAGTCACCTGAACAGCTGAGCTGCAGCCAGAGCAGAGAGACGAGCAGCAGCACCATGCAGAGGCCGAACAGCTTGTAGACCGTACATCTACCCGACAGGAACCTGGGAAGACACAGGGGAGAAGATGGGTTAAATGAGGCGTTTGACACAAGTATATGTTTTTCAGATTGAGAAAAATATAAATCTGTAAACAACCAATCACATTGGACAATAACAAGAGGGATCACTTCAATCCAGGGAGTCAAAGAAGTGCCTTAAAAAAAAGTTTGTAGATCTGCACAAAATACAAAAATAGATGTAGAATTCTCATATTTATTCCTTAACTTTCTTCTGTTCAAGTTCATTTTCACATTTAAGATTAAAGAATGGTTTATTGTATGCATGTTTAGTAGTCTCTTTTTACAGAAACATAAAAAGGTATAGGTGAGGTACATAAATCAAATGTAATAGGCTTTGTAAATTAATACAGAATAAAGAACTACAACAGAATATTTTTCAGCCGTTTACAACACAACAACTGAACTTTCCTACAGAGAAAAAAAATTAATAAAAACAGTGATCATTATCACAACTGACTGTTTTAGTGTGTTGAAGTGACATTAGTTATAGTGACACACACACACACACAGTGGAGTTAAAGGGGGCACATGAGAAATAACTTCATG